TCATATGTAGCATTATGTGTAATGTTCATGTGACAGTGTTATATCAGCCTACCTGTAGTTATATGAAACCATTAATTAACTGTATCCTGAGCTCCTCTGAAATAACTCATTTAGGATGGGAGCTTCATTTTGAGAGGATATCAGTTTTCTATTTTTACAATAGTTAGAAAACTGGACCGGATGTGGTGGCTCACTGTAAGCCCAGCACTATAGTAGGCCGAGGTGGGCAGATCACTTGAGGTCCGGAGTTCGAGACCAGCCTGGCTACAATGGTGAAACTCATCTCTACTAAAAATAGAAAATTAGCTGGGCCTGGTGACTCATGCCTGTAATCCCAGCAACTGGGGAGGCTGAGGCAGGAGAACTGCCAGAACCCAGGAGGCGGAGGTTGCAGTGAGCCACGGAATTCTAGCCTGGGCAACAGAGTGAGTGAGACTCTGTCTCAAAAAAAAAAAAGAGTGACAGCTGTCATAAGACTCAGTAGACAGGGGGAAGAGGGCACATGTTGGAAGGCACAAGAGGCAGTTTATAATATTTTATAATTACTGTTACCATGTTTTTTTAAGAATTTTTTTTTTTTTTTTTTGAAACAGGGTCTTCATCTGTCACTCAGGCTGGAGTTCAGTGGCGTGATCATAGCTCACTGCAGCCTTGGACTCCTGCTGGATTCAAGTGATCCTCCCATTACAACCTCTTGAGTGGGTAGAACTACAGGCATGTGCCACCATGCCTGGCTAATTTTTTTTTTTTAATTTTTTATTTTCTGTAGGGACAGGGTCTCTACAGGCTACTCTTGAACTCCTGGCCTCAAGTGATCATTCCTAAGTGCTGGGATTATGGGCATGAGCCACTGCACCTGATGATGTAGTCTGAATTTTTAATAACATTATGTTCTTCCTGACTTTATTTTCTACTTTTAAACTGAAGTAGAAGTTATTTAGAAACAATTTACTTACAGAGAAAGAATTTTATTAGGACCGGGCGCGGTGGCTCACGCCTGTAATCCCAGCACTTTGGGAGGCCGAGGCGGGTGGATCACGAGGTCAAGAGATCGAGACCATCCTGGTCAACATGGTGAAACCCTGTCTCTACTAAAACTACAAAAAATTAGCTGGGCATGGTGGCGCGTGCCTGTAATCCCAGCTACTCAGGAGGCTGAGGCAGGAGAATTGCCTGAACCCAGGAGGCGGAGGTTGCGGTGAGCCGAGATCGCGCCATTGCACTCCAGCCTGGGTAACATGAGTGAAACTCCGCCTCAAAAAAAAAAAAAAGCAGTGCATTTCCACCCATTTGTGTAAGTCAGGGATTCCTAACTCCTGGAACTTGGACCTGGCCTGTTAGGAACTGGGCTGCACAGCAGGCGGTGAGCAGCAGGCAAGTGAGCATTACTGCCTGAGCTCTGCCTACTGTCAGATCAGCAGTGGCATCAGATTCTCATAGGAGCACAAATTCTATTGTGAACTGCATATGTGAGGCATCTCTGTTGCTGCACTCCTTATGAGAAACTAACTAATCCCTGATGGTCGCAGGTAGAACAGTTTCATCCCCAAAACCACCCCCTCCCCTTGGAAAAATTGCCTTCCATGAAACCAGTCCCTGGTGCCAAAATAGTTGGGGACCACTGGTATAAGTAACCACATACTCGGATAAAAACAATAGCTTCCACCACCTACCTAGTGGGTAAAATTATTGATTCAATGGTGCCTACTGTGTCACAGGCGCTGTCCTCTGTACTGGTAGGCAGACAAAACTTCATGAGTGGAAGAAGACAAGTAAATTATATGGATGTTAGAAAGTGACAAGTATTAAGGAGAAAAAGCAGGAGGAGGAGGAGTGATTTGCCCAGGGTATAATTATGTGTGTAAGGGAGGGGGAAATAGGGGAAGTGGTTGCAGTGTTAAGGTGGGGGTCAATATGGGCTTTATCTGGGAAGGTGATATTTGAACACCTTAGTTGTCCTAATTTTGGTTTAAACAATTGTTTTTTTTTTTTTTTTTTTTTTTTTTTTTTTTTTTTTT